CCTGAATCCAATGACAGTGAAATCATATGTGCTGAGATTTTCAAAAGCACTTATATGCATTAGGAACTCAACTCCCCGTGACATTAAATGGGATTTGGGCACCCAACTCATTTAGGCATTTTTGAAAATGCCACCTGTAATGCCTGACTCTTGTGTTCCTGTGGAAGATTTAAAACACTACTATGTAGATTTTAACTCATTAAGTCAGAGATATATTTTCCCCCTGCCTTCTGTTGCTATGTATTCCTTGTCCTCTCCCTAGAGGTACAATTCCTCTTTGTTAATTTAAGCTCTTACTGAAATAATGCATACAAAATAGTTCTAATGCCTAACATACATGCACTCTAAAACATAAGAAATGCCTTTGGCATATGGGCTGCATATGTGTGTAGTAGTGTGTGTCTGGACAGGTCTGGAAATTATCTCCCAAAGATGAGAATTTTTTATATAACAATTGTCTAAATGTAAAATGCATCATTCCTACAAACACACTTAGGGTTATGGAGCACAGCTAAGTGCTACCTGTCTCCTGCGAAGCACAAAAAGAAATCTATGTCTGAGTTATAAATGTGCCCGGCACAGACCTACTCATCATTTCTAAATTCCTGCTAATGGTAGAGAAAGGAGGGTCTGGTACCAGGATCAGCAACTTTGACTGTCTTCTGATATTGACTTTACAACACGGTGGGAAATCTCAGTCTCCCAAACGACCTATGTAAATTTTTCTTTCTAAATTGCAGTATAGCACTGAGTAGAACTGTAATGAATGGAAGATCAAAACAAAAAGACAGTTCAAAGAAACTCTTCAGTACAGCTGTGATTTATAATAAATAAATAAATAAATAAATACATGTTTATTTCATTTCTTGAGAATTTCCCACAAATAGATAATCTTGGCTAAAAGCAAAACATCACTTTGTTAATCTACTGGCTGTTCACAAAAGGCAGTATAACCACAGATAACAGGAACAGCTATCAGTGTAAAGAAAAACAAGCAATGAAAGAATTATCATTGGAAATTCAAATAATTTGCTACACACGTCTGGCCAAATTCAGATTTGATGGAGGTATATGGAACTCCCTGACTTCACTGGAGACATTTCTGCTCAATAAACTCTGATTTTAATGAGATTAACCTAATGGATGATAAGTTTGTAAGAAAAATAATAAATACATATTTAAATCCCCATAAAATCTCCCAGACACATTTAAGTGATTTGTCCATCATGATTAGAAATCCATTGAAATAAAAGCAAATGTTACACAGCCATAATTAATGTTTCTTCTCTCTCTCGCCCTCCTTTTAGTGCCGTACTACCAGGGATGTTTTCAAACCAGAGAGCCTGATTCCCTTCTCATGAATCAGATGATTCCCTGCTCATGAATCAGATGCAACTATACCACAATCAGTGAAGTTTCGCTGGTGCAGAATTGGTGTGAACCAGATGAGAATCAGGCCAGAATCTCACCAAGAATATTTCAAATCTTTTTGGATTTCACTGTACATGCTTAAACTTCATCTGTAAAACTAGGCCCTAATAACCTCAGTCCACACATTTGTTAGTCATTATCATATCTCAGTCAAATCATTCAACATGATGAATCTTTTCAATTGCTACAAACTTAGGTGGGAGCTAGGAGATTAGAAAGTACTAAGTGAAGATCTTCTATTCTTCATCGCTTTTAACTTTACTTTTTGAGAAAACATGCTAATAATAAGAACTAAACCAAAAGTGTTCTGAAGAAATTTAGTAGGGCTCTGTAGAAATTACTCTAAAACCTAGAGGGCCAGCTGCATGCAAACTCAATAGAGTACAAATTAAAGCTCTCCTTTGAGCTCCCTTGATTCTGATGCTTCTGTCTTCCCTGCCCTGCACTGGACTAGAGAAGCTCTAACTTTATGGTTCAATGCAATGGCCACAAGGGGCTGAAAATGCAGCTGGGATCAGTGTGCCATAGTGGTGTTGTCCTGAATTACCTCCCCTTTTTCCATAAAGGAAAGCTACAGATCTGAGAATAGAATGGACAGAGAGACAGGGCTGGCTCCAGGCATCAGCGTAGCAAGCAGGTGCCTGGGGCGGCCAATGAAGAGGGGTGCGGCATGTCTGCCCGTTCGGCAGCAATTCGGCAGCGGGGCCGTCACTCCCTCTCAGAGCGAAGGACCTGCTGCCGAATTGCTGCCGTAGAATGAAGCGGCAGTAGAGCTGCTGCCGCTTGCGGTCGCGCCTTTTTTAAAATTTTTGTTTTTGCTACTTGGGGCGGCAAAAACGCTAGTCGGCCCTGCAGAGAGATGATAATGCAGTGATTTGTTCTTCTTAACTAAATCCCCTCCATTTTTCCCCCTACATCAAAGTATTGCGCACAGCTGCCTGTTTCTACTTTGCATACTCAAACTTGAGGCCTTTGACAAAAGTGCTGGTGTCATTTCTCTGGAGTCTGTTCTCCTAAACAATAACCCTCATCTGCATTCAGTATTAATGATGATCCAACCTCAGAGGTATCAGAGATGCAGTTCACATAAGCACCAAGCATTCAAACGTGTATTTGAATTATTGCCAAATATATTTTGGTCAGGAAATCAAATCTCACAAGATGTGGCCAGGTTGGAAATATCAAGGGAGTATCGCTGAGATGGTATTTCAGTATTTTTGTTCTTTAGTGGAACCAAGAAAAGCAGAGGTTCAGGAAAGGTTTTAATATCCCATCCCTAATCAAAAGTAGGACACCTGTTCTCTGGATAATTATTCCCTGTCCCTTTTGCTTAAAAATGATAGTTGTAATAAATATTATTACAAAAGGTATTCAATGTGAGGCTCACAGCATGTAAAACAATTGACCAATGTGTCTTGCTTGCAGGCACAGTATAAAGAGCTAGAAAAATTCCATTACATTTCGAACAATAACATTAACTGCACAAAAGGATTTTGCCTAGCAACTGTGAAAAATATATGAACACATCAAAGATATAAAATAAATGGCTGACTTCCACTAAAAGATTAAATGCATTATTGTCTCAATTACTTCAGCTAGTAGCCCCTAAAAAGATAGTAAAGTGTTACCAAAGGTCATTAACATCTGCCGAGGATATTTCTATCTGGAAATATTCCTGCCTTCATTTCTTTATTGTCTTTCCAAGTTTGTTTTGCATCTGTGTACAGGTAACCTAATGGAATCTTTTGAGTGACCCTAGCTTTGTATTGTAGAATAGTAGTAAGAACTGCTGTCTTTGGATACTTTTTGAAGCTAACAATTATTAACATATTAAGCAAATCCTATTTGTAAGTCATGAGTGTAACATTGTCCTTAACTTGCCCCATTGTGTCTAACTATTCCAGCACATATGGGATGTATCATACACTGTGCTGACGTAGGCATAATGGTGGCATGTCAATTTTCATTTTACTTTCTCTTGATGTTTATTGATTGGAACTCAAAGAAGTGTAGAACAGTTGACATGATAGGCTGGAATGGCGTCTATTGCATAAATATGAATACAGGCTGTTTAAAATACAAATTGTTGGCCTAATAGAAATAGTGCCTACCACATAAACCAGTTTTTAGAGACTTTTATGGGATGGTCAAAACCTTCTTGGGCACTCCTTATTCTGTAGATTCTTAACACGATAAACCATTATGTCTCCAAAGGAGACTTCTCAGTTTTTTGGATCAGTGGCATAACAGACCGTAATGACCCCTTTGAGGCTCTTTCAGTCTGCCATGTCAATGTGGTTGCCAGGCTGGTGCTCTAAACCTGCAAGCTAAAAATACTTTTAGGAATTTTTGTTGGATCAGTGTACAGTAGCCGCCTTGTTAAAGTGAGCAACTCGTTGATTGCTTTCAAGATGCCTTAGGAGCTCACTTATGGTGCTTCATGGACTAATGGTCTGAACTTCATGGACTAGTGGTCTGCAAAGAATCAGCTCACCAAATCAAGATGGAGTCTAGTTAGAACACAACAACATGTCTGAAACCACTAACCACCTTTGGAAGTTACAAATGGCCAAATTCACACACACACTCTCTCTCTCTCGTAAATTTAAAATGTGAATCACTAAAAAAGCTTGAACTCATGTATGCCACATTTCAGCAGGGAGTAAAACTTTTTAACATCCCAATGATAAACTCCAGGAAGGGGGGGGGAGGTCTTTAGGTATGGAAATACTACAGGAACTTCACTCTAGCAGCTATACCAATACCCAAGATTGCACTACAATCAGATTTTCTTCACTGATTCAAATGGCTTCATCTCATAACTACATTCAAGAGGAATAAACAAAACAAACACTTGAAGGGTCAAACAAATGCCATTCTTATTTGGTACACCAATGGAGTTGCTTTGGGTACATGTGCATGGAAAAGGGGTTCCAGTTTGTTGAACATTTACAGCAATGAAGGAAAGCAACTGTTAAATTATCATATCCCCATACCAGTTTCCATTATGGGTAACTTCCTTGTCTGTCAACTGAACAAAGAGCCAAAACTCAGACCTGCTGTGAATGAGTGGGACCTTCTTTCATTAGATATGAATTGGATGCAAGTGTATTTTTCAATTTGTATAAGCAATACATCCTCCATGCCTGACCGTAAAAAAAAAAAGCACCATGAAGACTGGTAATAGCTTTGCCACTGGGTGTTATTTTACAACTATATATTGTAACGTAAGAAGTTGACATTGCATTGCTAAATTTAGCTGTACACGCTTTCATTTGCATGACTGCTACATTGCAGAACTATCCACTGTTGGTGGTGCATCTGTAAATATCCACTGAGTTCAAGTCTGGGAACAGACAGAGAACTCACTGTCTGGTAATGCTGAGGTCAATCACACCTCTCCATTCTGTAACTTTACACTTGACACATAACATAAAAGTCTTGCTCTCTCTCTCTCTCTTTGAAGCCATTTTGTTTTGCATGGAACATGATTTTATCAAGGCCCTGAAAGCAAGACCCATAGGTTCTCCTCCCAAATGGCTGAATAATGATTGCTGAGTGCCACTCACCTCTCCGTCTCTTGGCCACGGCCTTCCGTTCTGTGTGTATTTGCTTTGATTCTGTCGCTTCTTTTGCCCTCCGTCAGCAAATTTGCACAGCAAAGGCTCAGTGGGGGCTGCAAAGACAAGAAACCCAGTCTATATTAGCAACCCCCCAAAGAAAGTGATTATACTAGCAACAGTAATGCTTTGTAATACTGGTCTTTTGAAGTAAAATCTTGCCTTCTGCAGATATATTTTGCGTCTTTTAGCCTTGGCTCCACTGGCAGCTGTTCTTACTAACTAAGCTTAAAAAAAAATACTGGCAGACCTTAAAAGACTATAACAAATATTGTTGAAAAAATAATCAGCCTACACAGAATGTTAAGTCAATGCTATAGTGGAATAGTAGAGTCAGGCATTTATTTCTGTTATGTTAGACACGTATTCATGACCAGCATTTGTGTGAGGATAATCATGGCTTTATTAAAGCAGCTCTCTGCTTCTATTATAGAAACTTTGCAAGAATTTTTTTGGGGAATAAGTGTTCTCATGATTTCTGTGTTTTTCAGCCCCCAGGGCTTAAAAATCTGCATAAATAAAATAAATACAATAAAATAAAAGAAGACTTTTGCCAAACACAGTCCAATTACCTTTGTTTTCCTATAACTCCTTCCAGTTTAAGAGAGGTGGCAGCTGATGTGCCTCCTTACCTCCCCGACTGAGATCTGTTCTCTGAGACTACAATAGTCATCAAGGCTAGTGTGCTGCTGAACTATGAATGCTCAAAAAGCTACAGACCAGAAAATGGAACTCATAATAGAATCCCCAGTGAAGAAATTAACACAAACAACATAGGTACAACCGGAAGGGAACTTTGTGTCTTGGTACCTTCTCCCAACTATCTAGCTTTAGAAATAGGCTTTTAAATGTTATTCAGACAATGCTACAAATTCGGGTTGCCAACTTTCGAATAGCACAAACCAAACACCCCTCTTCCCCGCCCCTTCCCTGAGGCCGTGCCCCCTGCTCGCTACATCCCCCCTCCCTCTGTTGCTTGCTCTCCCCCCAACCCTTACCCACTTTCACTGGACTGGGGCAGGGGGTTGGGATCAGGGAGGGGGGTGAGGGCTCCAGCTGTGGGTGTGGGCTCTGGGGTAGGGCCAGGGATGAGGGGTTTGGGGTGCAGGAGGTGGCTCAGGGCTGGGGCAGGGGGTTGGGGTGTGTGGGGGCTGCGGTCTCTGGGAGGGAGTTTGGGTGCAGTAGGGAACTCTGGGCTGGGGCAGGGGTTTGGGGTGCGGGATGGGGGTGAAGGCTGTGGCTGGGAGTGTGGGCTCTGGAGTAGGGCTGGGGATGAGGGGTTTGGGGTGTGGGAGAGGGCTCTGGGCTGGGGCAGGGAGTTGAGGTGCGGGATGGTATGGGCTCTGGTTTGGGGGTGAAGGCTCTGGGCTGGGGCTGGAGATGCATTTTCTATCTGGAATTTAGCCCTTCTCTTTCCCCAATCCACAAGGGGGACCAAACGCTAATCATTTTAGCACAACAACTGTTAGACTGCTTCTCCCCTCTCACTCTGCCCAGAAATGATCATCCATGCAAACTGATACATGCATCAATATTTGTACCAAACCCCAAAGGGTTTGATTCTAATAAGCCTCAAAACAATGCTTCTCATGTGAATCTTGTTGGAACTGTCTGAATCTCTTGGGTCTGCAGATTTGGAACGGAAAACTGATGAGAAGTGAGCTTCTTGCAATACTTCCAAATTTCCTGAGCCTGGTAGGGTGGAAACTCCACAAGAATAGACATTCTTACAGTATTATAACACCTCCACTTATGACTGCCACCTGAAAGTGCAGAAATACCAAAAAAAGGGTGGGGGATGGGAAGATTAACCAATTTTTTTTAGTTAAAAAGGTGTTATTTATTTTAAGTTTCCTGGAAGTTCTTATAATATTTGAACAGCTCATCCATGCTTAGTAACAGGTAGATCAAAATGGCTCACAGATATAAATCTCAGGTTTAAATTGTCCTCATTTGAAAACTGTAACAAAGCAACAGAACAAACAGAGGCTCCAAGATTAGAACCACACTGTTTCAGTGGGATGGGATCCCTTTGGCGACATCTGAAGCTTGAATTGCTTTGTTTTCTTTCAAGTGCCCATTTTACCGGGGCAGTAATTTCCAGGATCACTTGAAAATTGAACTGCAGGAAACAATCTTAGTATTGGCAGGAAGATGGACTAGATGACCTCAGAAGCCTTTTCACACCTCTGACTCCTATTATTGTATCAGGTTTTAGTACAGGCAATGCTCAGCCAGGCATTTTAAATTTAAAATAATGAAAGTTTAAAAGTCTCAAGGTGGCTGTGGGGATTCTCTCTGCAGATGGCTAGCTTCCAAGAGCCTGATTACCCCTCACTTACACCAATTTTACACTGATCTATCTCCAACGATTTCAGTGCAGTCCCTCATAATTTACTCTGGTGTAACTGAGAGGAGAATGCTAAGATAGCACTGGAGAAAAAAATTATTGGAGTCACTCCTGAAGCTTCAAAAGCTTTTTATTTTAAGAGATTATATATATATATATATGTATATCAATCACTAGAAAAAGCATGACATAGCAAATTCATGCGTTGCGTACATACATATACTATAACTACCAGCTAACTACATGCAGGTGGCATCGGCACACGCGCGTTTAGGTAGTACATTACGACCTGGTACAGAAAGGTGGGAGATGATATGGTTTATTACATCTCCTTTTCTGTATACTAGTAAACCACAAATGGGAGGCTGTTGCAATTTCTGGCTTTCCAGATATCCATCAATACCATTTTACAGTCTCGTAGTTGTTAATATGGACCTGTCTAAAGCTGACTAAGAGGAGAGTGGCACAAATCACTGAGTGATATTTCAAAACAACTCTGTTCTTGTCTAGAGAAAGAAACACACTGACTTGACTATAGGGACCCCGGGACATGCACATGATACCCTTCACAGCTAGATTTCTGTTTGGGAAAGTCCACTCCTCTTTAGCAAATTAGAAGGAATTATGACAAACAGATCAATTCACATAAATGCAATCAGAGCATTAATGCAGCGTATGGACTGAAAGCCTGGTTTTGGCAGGAAGGGAGAGCCACATTATTTTAATACAACACCTTACACCCAGCGGGACACCAAAACCCTTTACCAAACTATATTGGCATATACTCTACTATAGTATTTATTTAGCCACAGCCGGGGCAAGATGTTGCAGCCAACACAAAGATATAAAGACACAAATACAACGGGCTTGATTCTGTCAAGCCAGAGGGGTGGAATGTCAGGGAGCCAGTTCTCCGATTCTTAGGGCCAACCCTGACCCCTGTGAAAAGTACAGTTGCTTCCTAGCAGGTCCTGAATGGGCCCTACACCAGTGAAACAGAGGCATAATGTAGCTAAACTCTGACCATACCACGACCCCACACCCTAACATGACTCTTACACTACGGTGCAGGGATAGGAGATACAGGGACTGGAGCTAATACATCTGTGCCAGCAGAGTTCCCCTCTGAAAGGTGAATTCTCTGTTGGCCAGTTCCTGGTCCCTTTGTACCTCCCAGAATGACAAAGTGGGGCCAGATGAAATTATAGAATCTAGCCTTAAATATCCAGGATTTGTCTGATTGTTTTTAAGAAGGGAAGGAAAGGGAGGCCTCAACCCACGGGATTTTAAAAAATAGACTTGACAAACCCTACGTAGTGTACAACAGAGAATATTTCTGTATGGGAGCCGGATTTGTTGGCCTACAATAATAATTTTCCTCTCTCTCTTATGTCTATTATTCTATGATATTGGAGACAAATCTCTCCAGCTGAAACAATGGGAGTTATTTTTTTTCCAAGTTAGGCAATAACTATCCAAATGAGAATTGGACGAAGATAGTGGGTATCATACACCCATTCTTACACAACATGCCATGAAGAGATTTTAACAGTCACAAGTGGTTAAGGGTTTACATCTCACCAAAAGAGCATCTCCAGCAGCATAGCGTAGCCATGGTACCCTGCTGGGACTAATTTATAGAGACAAGTACCAACTATGTAATTATACCACAGTTTCCTGCAGCACCTTGGAGGGCTCCCATCCAAGAACTGACCAGGCCCAACCCTGTGTAAACTTCAGAAATCTAAGAAGAACTCAGCATCTGAAATGTTCTGAGTTATTCAGGGCAGGAAACCAGATGATGTGACTATACCAAAAGCTAGCTAACTACTAGCCAGTAGAGGGACTGCTGTTAAAGCAGCATGACAAATGGAAAAGATTGGTAAGGCAAACAGGCAATATTTTGGAGAGTCTATGAAAGGCTCCATTATTCATGTTAGATCCTGGCTGAAAGAGGAAAACAGCCACCCACACTGAGTAGGCATCACCATGATCAATGAAAGGGGAATGTTCAGCCAACTCTACTTCTTATGTTACATAGCTCAACTCAACCAGGGGAAAGTGTGCAAGTCCTGAGCACATGCATTTCCAAGTAATGCTGCACACTGATCTGGCAACTCTTGAGCATATGTCCTCCAAACAATGCACAGATGTCTGTGTTTCGACAAACTTAGATATATTTTCTTACTTGAACAGGGAAGCACTGCCAAGGAGAGAGACAGAGAGTCATTTAATTGCAATCAGAGACATGGAATTCAAGAAAGATTCTGAATAACAAAAAAGTAGCATGAGGAAGCTAGATCCACATTTCTCAATCAAGTGCTATTCTGTGCCATTTTAGGGACAAAAGGTTGATACGGGTCAGTGTTTCTTGTTATCCTGGAATTTATCATAATCTACATAGATTACATGCTGGCTCTGCTGGCGGAGGTGACCCATTGCCATATAATAATCTGCATTAAAATTGCTCAGAAAAGGTGCTGCAGATATTTTAGTAAAGAAAGGCTTTCTGCTTTTTGCTGGAAAATAGTTTCAACAAAAAAATTCCAAACAGCCGACAGCCACGGAGTAATTTCTACGAGGGACAGTGTAATCAATAATGTAAATATTCAGTGTAATGACACTGCATTATCTCACATCACCCCGGCACAAAAGCCATGAAATGTGGCTCATATCACAGGGTTCTGGCTGCCCATAATAAACTTA